GAACACTGACTAAAAAGAACTAAAAAGAACTTCAAAGAACGATCTGATTTATTCGTATCGCTCGTGCAAAATGGAAAAGATATTAAACTAATCTTCAGAAATCAATAACAAAGACAAACTTTTACAAGTTTTGATTTTTGTTACAGAGCAAAAACCAAGAAAGCGATAACAATATATTTAATGATTTGCAAGTTTCCGACTCTAGTGCAGACACTGACCCAAGTGAGATCTTTGAATCGCGAGAAAAGGTCAGCAAGCGTGAAAGTAAAGGGAAAAAGGAAACCAGAGAACTGGATCCGATTCCCACTTTAGAAAAATTTCCTTCCTTAACATCGATACCACAGACAATCAATATTGTAAGTTAGAGACCACAAGTACGTTCAATATTTCAAATGTTTGTTAGTCATTAATAAATTTCGTAAAAATCTTAACTGCACCTCTCACTTTTCATATTACTAAATACTTCAATATTTACAATTAATAATTATATGTATATGTAATTTGTAATCTCTACAAATCATTTAATTTGTATTATTTATATTTGTAAATATACCATTCCATTCGTTCACTACGAAAAATTTCTTTCACAGATTTGTTGATCATATTCGTTCGAATTCACATAAAATTGTCATCGATCAATATATCTCTCACTTTCTTCGTAATTTTTCGAATGCAAAATTGTACAAAGATGAACAAACTAATGCATAAAGTGTATTATTACTTTCAGAGTGTGGACGAAGAGCCTGTTATTTTATATTGTTGCTTCGTTGACTGTTATAATTACATAAGACACGAATACATAACGAAAAGGCCCGTGCACGAATTTCAAGTGATTCATGTAATGTAATTCTTTTTATGAAATAAAACGCTTTTTGATTATTCGCGCGAACATGACAAGAATTGGGCAAGAACATCTAATTTTAGCACAAGCGAGAGATCCATGTTACCGACCGCGAAATGATCCATAGATCATACGTGACCACTATGAGACACTTCTGTGCAAGAATTAATATCACCAATGTTAATAAAATTACGAACGAAGCATAGAGAAGGCTGAATATGTTCGATGGAACCTTTTATTTGAAAACTTTGGGGGCTGTAGAAAACCTCCTTACCATTTCAACATTATAGATTTAGTATAGAATGAGAATTGAACGCCGTTCACGGTGAGAAATAAAACTAACTATGCCGAGAGTTGCTTATTTGAAAGTGATCTAATCCTAAATCGATCTGTATTTGACGAGAGTGTCTGAATTTTGTAAGAAATTAATACACAATGAAATACTTTCGCGATTGTTAGGATAAATGGAATGGTTTCAGAAGAACGCAGCCATTAGATCATATTATTTGTTATGTAATTAATAACTGTATTAATTACATACTAAATAATAATCCCCAGGTCTCACCACGTGGAGGTTGCTGCGAGTGGAGACCCGAAGGGAGATAGATGGAATCAAAGTTCCATCGATCTCCCTTTTAGCTAAGCTTAGCTGGATTACTAAACTAGAGAGATAGAAGATCTTCTAGTTTAGTTGTACCAAGTAATTATTTCGTTTGAAAAGGGGTGAAGCTAAATTATGGGATACGCGACGCGACGCGATGCTGAACCGTGCGGCAGATCTTCGGATCGAATCGACACTGCCCTTGGTAGATTGATTTCTATTTCTAGAAATCGATCCATCATGGGTAGGCGACTAGATCTTTCAGGACAAACTGGACGGCCGATCACATGTTTCGATCGATGAAACAGCGGTGATCGAAGCTAGGAACCAGAGAACGAGTCGAGAGAAGCTACTTGTTAACTAATTACTTGGCAATATTGGGAGACGCATACAATAGGGACTTAAAATTAACGTCGAAGCTCGAGTCTGGTCAAGTTAAAACTAAAATTCGGACGATAGAAGGAAACAAAGTTCCTTGGATGTTCTGACTTAGTTGTACCAAGCAATTATTTGGTTAAAAAGAGGGACGAAGTTAATTTGAGGGGCACGCGAAGCGACGCGACGCGACGCTGAACCGTGCAGCCGATCCGAGGATCGAACCTACTGCCCTTGCTAACTAGATCTCTATGGGATAACGGACGGCTGCGACTCCGAATCGAAGGTCTCCATTGCTCCAACGCAACCCGCCGGGAGCCCGAAGGACCCGACTCAAGTTGTCTGACATAGAGAGAGTACCTGAAACAGTGTCGACTTTCGCTGGAAGGTATGCGTTTCCGCAGGATACGGAAACTCCACACCTTCCAGCAAAGTACCATTTTCCCTCGATCGAGCTACCAAAGGGAAGGCGATTAGATCTTTCGGATCAGCTACACGGCCGATCACATGTTTCAATCGATGAAACAGCGGTGACCGAAGCTAGGAACGAGGGAACGAGCGAGAGACAAGCTACTTATTGAATAATTGCTTGGTAGGACGCGGAGATACGTATAATAAAGAAGGCTTCGACGTTAATTTCAATACTCGCGACGAAGCTTAAGACTAATCAACTTGCAATTAAAAATCCCTCGGCGATTGAGGCGTTCTCCCTCGATGTCCTTGCGATTAACCCAAATTTAAACTGAAATCAAAACTCATATTTATATTAGTGAGATATGGTAGGCAATTGAATAGACACTTAAAAATGATCTATCACCTATCTTATATCAATCAGTGTAATCGAAACAAATATGATATATGCATCGACAGAATGTTATTCGTATGAAAACGAACATTCTTATGTTGATCAGAGTCATCGAAACAAATATGGTATGAAACCGAACATTCGCAATAATGAAAGGAACTGAGATCGAGAAACCAAGTGGAATCAACACCAAACAATCAAACGAAATACCTCCCAAATTACCCAACCAAATAACTGAACCAAAATACCTCCGTAGAATATTACGAGAATTCGAGCAAGAACGTAAAAATAAAACTTGATGAATTTGTATAGAAACAAATATAGTATGTGATTGAAAACAATATTATGTTATTATATCCTGCAATATTATACATATCAAAGCAGTCACATAAATTCGAAAAACAATGTAAAATGGAAACACAGAAAAGGAACATTCATAGTAACCAAATGAAATCAGATAGACAAATGAAGTTGAATTCATATCAAACAAACAAATAAAAATAATAAAATATAAACAAGTGGAGTGGACTTACTACTTGTTGTCAGTACATAGGATAGTTACCACTGGGCCAGCTGTAAAGTAAGAAAATATTCATATTATAGCAACGTCAGTTAGGCAAGCAAGGCAAAATCAGTTCATTGAAGCGAAATTGGTATCAAACGATAGAATAGAAGAGGGGAGAGAATTTTTAAACAGTTCTTACCGTTGGTCATCACCGTCCGGCACTGGTCAGTAGTGGTCAGTAGTGGCAGGAACGCGAATCAGCACTGGTCAGTAGTGGTCAGTATTGGTCAGCCATGGCCAGCAACGGCCAGCAGGGGTCAGCAGCGGTCCCCGGTTCTCCTCTGGCTACTCGACATTCCCGAATTCGCGACGCGACTGAAGAAATCTTCGCAGTGACCCTGCTTATCTGTCTAAGGTGATGAAAGGGTGGGGAGACCAGTCAGAGCCAAAGTTGAAGATAACAGGTAAGACTGCCTCGTCTACAAAGAAACTATTTCGATTGGTCCCACCTCTTGATCATTTCTGGATCTTCACTGGACCGCTGACCTTGATGCCCACCTCACTGTTGACCACCAGTGACCATAAGCTAGTCATTGTTGATCATCGACCCATTAATACCATTACGAAGTGAAGCCTTCTTACGAGGATCCCCTTACAATTTGATGCATGATCTTTTTAACATTTTGTTCCACTTTGGAAGAGTGTACCTCGTTAATTTTTGTCTTTTCGTACGTCAGTTCGGACAATTGCCATACTGAGCGAAAAATTCGGAGGTGATTTTAGCATCCTCTTCTCATGGATGGCGGTCAGTTAAGAAATTATTCACTGAACTAGTATTGATAGGCAAACAGCTGTAGTTTTGCGTAAATCCATGTGAGTTGACTATGAAAGGGATTAAAATTCATTTCTGAATCTGTTGGTAACGTTGCAAGTGACACAAAAATGGTAATGGGGTCCCGGGACCCCAGAAACTCGGGCCGAAAAATTACATTAGGTGAAAGGTCTATTCATATACCTCGTCTGTGGTGAAAGATCTATTCGTATACCTCGTCCGTGTTATAAAGATCATAGATGATCGATATTTAGTCTTAACTCCAAACACTAGGGGTGCTGAATTCGAATTCTAGTGTGAACCGATAACGTTGGTTGTGACACGGAAATGATAAGGAGATTCGTAAGCCCCCAATCCGTGCGACAGAAAAAAGCATTGCGTGCAACGATGCAACTCCTATTCTGTATCTTGTCTGTGTTTAAAAGCCTCCTAATCGTAGGATGAAAAGTTCCATCGAATATTTAATATGTATATCCTATATTTCGCCTATATTTTTAAGCTAGACAAGAATCATTGTAAAATTTCCTACGAATCAATTCATAATCATGGTTTCGTTTATTATAGAAATTACACTTAAAATAAATATATAACGTATGTTAAAAAGAGGGATTAACAGGGTTTGACGACTTTTCTATTTATAGGACGTATCCATGTCATCAGATATTCTGATACAAATAGGTAAAAGTAAACGTATCGATGAACATTATTGAAATGCTTGATTATGAAAAGGTTCGAACAGTTATTTATAACTGCACGAATCTTAACATACGAGTCAAAATCTAAACGTTGAGTTGATATTTTCGATCAAGTTACAAAGTAAATTATAATCCTGAAAAGATGGTCGACTTAATCGCAACCTTTACTGTTTTCTATATAAAAGGCGTGGTTATTCCAGGAATTCTAAATAAATCATATCCATGCCAAGATCATGGATATGTGAGCTCTGTAAATAGGTAGGAGCTTATATACCTGTGAAATAGTCGCATACAGTATGTATGTGACATCATACATACTTAGGTACCTACTCGCTTTGCACATACACGTATAGGGTATTAATAGTTGCTTGCCGAGATGTCACAGACATCTGTATATAAGAGTAACCTCTACGTTCCTCGTACAACAGATGTATCCAGTACATCCTCGGTTAAATTCGGATTTTCCGATTCGATCTGCTAAATACTCGTTATACGCGGTCAAGTACGATCAACTACAATCGGCAACGAATATTGTGTGGCACGACGAAGCAAGGTTAAACGTACGATTCGTACCTACACTGTTATTAAACGTTCGAGGATAAATATCGTGAAACATATTTTCGTAAATGTCGATTACCACGAACTGAATGTTGTACGGAGTGTCTTCGGTTTGTTCAACGTCGTGTCGTTTCGTTCTTTAAAGTGCAGTTTACTTGACGAAAAAACAAAGCAAAAACAAAACGGGACAGCTGTTCTGTAGAGTGTTGCTGACGTATAAGGCTTTCTATAGAGCTGTGTGGTTCTAACGGACTTTTCGAAATTGCTATCGAGTTTGTCCATTTAAGTCGACGATCATGTCAAAGTCTGATGCACCAAAGTTCGTAACTGCACTCTTTTCCTTTAAAGGAACTAATAATGACGAAGTATGCTCATTTCTTATCAGCTGTCGTACATCTTCCAGAAGCACGGTTGGCTTTGAATTTCAATTGTTTTTGCATTCTTATTTTTAGTTATGTTTTAAAAAAGGAGATGTGATAACGATTACTCAGATGGACGAGGAAGGTTGGTGGGAGGGTACATTGAACGATAAAACAGGATGGTTTCCATCGAATTATGTAAAAGAATGCAGGGCTCCAGGTATTGACTTTAGAATACTATTTTAACAATCGTAACGATTCGATTAGATTATTCTCGTGTTTGTACATACTTAGACGGTGGACTTTCAGTGGTCAAAACATCCCCAGAGAAAACTCTGCAAGAGTCATCTGCGCAATATAAGCTCAATCGTGATATCGTATTAAAAGACATAGTTGATTCTGAAAGAGTGAATGTAGCAGAGTTACAAGGCTTGATAAACAGTTTCTTGCATCCGTTAGAATCAGCCAATGTGTAAGTAAATATGCTTAGTATCGTGACACATCGAGTGAAATTCTTCATAAATATTACATTTAGATTAAACAAAGAAGAGTACAAGCAACTTTTAGGTAATGTGCACGAAGTTTTGGAAGTGCATCAACGATTGCTTATCAGCTTGGAAGCAGCTATGACTCAAGGTTGCTCTTCAAGAGTCGGTAATCTTTTCTTAACGCTAGCACCAAGATTGAAGTCTATTCATACGACGTATTGTGGAAATCATCCACGGGCTGTATGCATATTAGACCGTTTCAGGTACATATAAGAAAATTTTAGGATCTTGTCTATAAATTCAGAGAATTCGTACGGAAACAGCGCTTTGTTATAGAGACGAACTGAATGAATTTATGGAAGATAGCGGGGCAATATCGCCTGGTATATTAGTGCTAACGACGGGCCTTAGTAAACCCTTTCGAAGATTAGACAAATACTCTGCTATGCTTCAAGAGTTAGAAAGGTATATGGAAAAGAACCACCCTGATAGAGGAGATACCCAGCGCAGTATAGTCGTGTACAGAGAAATAGCGGTACGCAGCTTTGATTATTTCCACATGCTATAGTAACTCGTATTAATGTTCAAACATCATAGTAATTCGAGTTACTGTATTTACTGTCCCCGTGTTTCGTCCTACAGGATCGATGCGCGTCCATACGAAAGCAACGCGAATTGGCGCTTCAAGTATTAACTAGTGGTATTAAAGGATGGGAGGGAGAGGAACTAAGTTCGCTCGGGGAAATCCTTTACGTCGGATCTGTTATTCTTGCAAGCGGAACGACCGGATTAGACCGTCGGGATAGATACTTTGTTCTTTTTTCTTCAACTTTATTGGTGCTCAGTGCCAGCCCAAGGATGAGTTCTTTCGTCTACGAAGTATATTCAAAACCACATACGTTCTATTTTGCCGCCAATTTCAATACAAAGACGTGGTCAAGCAATTTTATATCGCGCACTCTCCTTTTGCAGGGAAAGCTCCCGTTGACTGGGATTAATATTATTCCAATGGAAGATACCGACGAAATTAGAAACGCTTTTGAAATTACAGGTAAGGATTTTAATACGAGTTTGCTATAGTACGGAAGATAAATCATTATCTTTATGGAGGAAACCATCGAGCTTTTCCTTTCATAAAAGTCTCTCGGTTTCTCGTTCTCCTTCCCCTTCTCGCTTCTTCCCTTAGGGCCGATGATCGAGAGCATACTTGTGCTCTGCGCCACTAAAGAGGATCAGCAGCGTTGGATCGAACTTTTGATCCAAGAACAAACAACGAGCAGCAGTCTAGTGAAATCGTCGACCACGTCACGCGTGAGTTGTAATCTACCTCCGTACGCTCGCCTCTCGAGGTATTTTGCCAAGCTGGTCAGGAGAAAGATTATACGTCCCGAACTACTGAAGAAATTACTCTATTTGCAATATATTTTGAAGCCGGATTTAAGTAACGTAAAAATGCGAAAGCCTAACGTAACAACTTATACCCTTTACCCGACGCAAGATAGTAACCGATGTCGGTCCAACGATTCCGAAACGTCGAGTTTCGAAACGAGTAAAATCGTGGGACAGCAACTGCACGATAGGACGTCGAGGTTGCACAAATCAACGTTGACCCTCGATGTGAAATACGCATTGGGCGATCTCGATCTTAGCACAGTGGGGATAAGGAACGACTCGTCTTTCACGGAGTTCGTATCCGAGCGCAACAGCATGCGCGAGGCCACCAAAAGTTTACCCGTTACCGTTTTCACTTCCACCGTTACTCTGCCCGGCGTCGTTACCGATAACGGAAACGAGACTGCTGCCAACGGTCAACCCGTTTCTGGATCGCGTTTAGTCGATCTTCCCGTTTCGTTTCCAATCGCTCGACAATTGCATCGAGATCGGCATGGCAATGCAAAGAAGCAATACGCGGGCGCTGCGACCGGATGTACTCGAGAACAACCGATCACCGTTGCTTCCAACGTTCAACGTCCGACGATTCGCGCGTGCAACACCGACGCGTCACCTGGACAGGAGATCGATTTCAATTCTCGCGCGGATGCTAGCATACGTTCGTTAGATTCAGGAATGGCCGAAAGCTATCGGCTGAACTCCTCGGAAATCAATTCCTCGTGTAAATCGTATACGTGCAACAAGTACGATATCCGAATACCCGAGAGAACTTCTTGCGTCGAGAGTGAAAACGATGAAAATAACTTCGAGCATCAATGTATTTGCACCTCGCCCTTTGATTCTACTCCCAGGGACAGCGCGCATCTGTCCGATTTATCGAAAAGCGCCGAAGACATTTTGAGTCCTTCGGCTCGCGATGCGACCGACCCGGGAGCCCGTAATTTTAGTCATCGTTTGCACGATGCCAGCGAAACGCAAATAGAGGGGAACGCGGTATACGTGACGACGAACGAGTCGGAAAACTCGACGCAGAGAAGGTTCACGCAACCGATACCGTACGCCCACCAAACCATCGTACGAAAAGTTGGAAGAATGGCGATCCAACCGGATCGTCCTGTCGTCAAAGACGAACACGACGGAACGAGTCAGATCTATACGTCGGGGCTGTATGCACATTGGTGGTTGAAGAAATCTATACCGTTTTCTGGATGCACAGATCAAGGCAAGCTTCCATGGCATGGCTGTTTTCTCTATATATTTTTTTTTTTATTCAGTTAACGTCTTCACCCGTTTTACTTACTAATTGTATGTATGTAGTACCTTACCGTTTATAACGAGCGTATGCTTTCATTTCACAGCCATGTTGTGTGAAGTAAGCTTTCGCTTTGCTAATACCGATACGCATCGCGAGAAATCGAATTGAAAGAAAGGACCCGTCTCGAACTAGTAGACGGTTAGTTTCTTTGTAATCTCTACCTTTGACACACGTAGAATACTGACCACGTGAACGGGGCATGTTTTTCGAGACTGTAATTTCCATTTTAGCGAATTCATAGCGAGCCCTCTGTTGCTGTCGCACGATGGCTTTACACCTTTAATTCTCGTGTTTCCTGATCCACCAGATCTCCAGTCACCAGAACGGGAAACAGCAACAGCAACGATCAGTTGCGGAACCTTGTCCACCTCTAGGGATTAGAGCATCTTGGTGCATTGCTTCGTTACGTCCAGCCCCTCCTCTGTACACTTTTAGGGCATTTGGTAAAACTGATACCAGTTTGGATTTATCACGCGCACCACGACCGTGTAGTACGAATTCAAGATTTCAAGTTGAACTTCTTCAACTGTGAGGACACTGTTGTAAAAGATAATATACTTTCTCGTTTCTAGATGAACGACAATTCGAGGAAGATGCGATTATATTGAAGGTGATCGAGGCGTATTGCCTTTCCGTCAATGCTAGGTTCACTGTGCACTCTGGCGAATCGACTTGTAGGTCATTGATCCCGTTGATTCTTTTTTTAACACTTTAATGGTCGCACGTATCACGCGAAGACTGTTGCACGTCACCATTGATATTGTAGACCAAAGTGAGATACACGAAGATGCTAGAAATATTGTTATAAGGAATTATATATGTAACCTCAACAAACACAGTAGATCACGCAGACGTGACAGTGGCCAACGTCTGCTAGCTCGCGAAGTCACGTATACGTGACAGCGGCCGTCAAAGTGTTAAGACGTAACGATTTTGAACGAATAGTAACGTCGTATCATATGTTCTATTTCCGTTTTAGCAATGTTGGAATATGGTTCGCACAAAGCACGCGATAGGACATCTTTAACGCATAACAGGGGGAACTGGGAGTTTTGTAGCAACAGGTAAACGTTTCCGTTGAATTTCTATTATAAATGTCTTGGGCCTGTCGGTAGTGTATGTTTCTTGTAGGATACTATCGGAAACGGTTAAAACGTTGAAAAGTCAAATGACAGACTTGCAATCACAAATGTCTCTGCTGACGAAACAGCTGGACGAAGAGAGAAGATCGAGACTTTCACTAGCTGCTACAGTAAAACGCAGTATGGGTGTCGTAGATGGATCGGTGCCCTGAATTTTTACCTCGCACAAATCGACTCCTTACCATAATCAGTCAACAAACGTTAAGTTACATCCGTAATTTTTTAATACGGTGCGATCTGCGTTTCGCGATGGGAATGTTCCTTAAACCATAAATTTTCTACCGCGTTATTTTCTAACAAAGACGTAGCAAGGACGAATAAATAAACGTACAAAATTATGTATACCTTTCTTTCATCTTTCCTGTTAGATTGTTCGCACATCGACGCTTACTGGAACAAGATCGATCGTTCGCGATTATCGAATCAAAACGTAGAAGGTATACGATCGACGATCATTGTAAAATCTCAATATCCATCGACTAGATTTGAGCGTTACAATTAAGATTATAATTCGTCGAAAACGATTTACAATATGCTCTCATCTCGGTTTGTTTTTAATACGTTCGAGCTCGTTCACTCTGCTTCGCGCGTGTTCCAACCTATGCCACGCCATTTGCAAAACTTTTTGACTCGCGTATCCGGAACCTTCGTGCGGTTGTCCTGAAACAGAAATTAACAACATACCTGACATATATTAACCCTATGATTTCGACGTGCTTTAACAAAAACCCGTCAACATTGCATGACGCGATATTAAAAAAATAGTTCGTAAAACGTGTTATATTCATTGAAATTGAAGTAGATCTTCAGTTATTGGACTGGTTGTTATGCCAGTTTAGTGAAATAGTAAGTGTATTGTACCAAATAAAATTTGTTGGTCATATACAAGATGAGAAACTTAAAATAGGTTATTCAGATAATGTTTTTCCTCCAAGGATGATGTTATATCATTTCTATCAAAATTTAAAATAATTATCTATAGACAATGCTTACCTGTTGAAACTTGTGTCAAATAGTTGATTTGTTCGCTCAACTTGGACTCCACATGACCTAGTGTTTTTAGAAATTGTTGAGTTTGTGCTTCGGCTTGCTTCAAGCTAGATTTTTCTTTGCTGAGCTCCACAAATGCTTGTCCTATACAGTGATAAAAACTAGCGTGTAACGTAATACAGAAATCGTTGTCACATCTGCCTTTTAAACGTTAACATTATTCTAGATGTAGAAATTAAAGAAAATAAGTACATAAACTTATTGGCTTTTGTGGGCAATTCTATCAGATATTATACTTTTTTATTTAATATTTCCATATATTTATCAAGTAAATTATAAAATTAATTCAGCAGTGAAAAGGTTAGGCAATGACCGTCGAATTAGAGTAGCGTTAATCACCTGCACTTTGTAGGCACACAATAATATCTTTCTCGATCGTTTCCAAGATCTGTATCCTTTCCATCGGTGGTGTCATCGCGTAGGAAGATCAATTGTATTTGTACGATTCGTATGTAAACGGAAAAAACTAATCATAAGAAGAGTAGAAAACAGAAAAAAATTGAACAACGGCACAATGGCAAAACCGCGATTTTAAGGTTAATCGAATATAACCGGAAACAGCCGAATCGCGGCGCTAGTATGTACTTCTTATTTTATTTACTGATTTGCAACGACACTAGTTTGTAAAACTCGTTCAAAGATAAAACCACAGACAAGGTACATGAATAGACCTTTCACCTAATGTAATTTTTCGGCCCGAGTTTCTGGGGTCCCGGGACCCCCATTACCATTTTTGTGTCACTTGCAACGTTACCAACAGATTCAAAAATGAATTTTAATCCCTTTCATAGTCAACTCACATGGATTTACGCAAAACTACAGCTGTTTGCCTATCAATACTAATTCAGTGAATACTTTCTCAACTGACCGCCATCCATGAGAAGAGGACGTTAAAATCACCTTCGAATTTTTCGCTCAGTATGGCAATTGTTCGAACTGACGTACAAAAAGACAAAAATTAACGAGATACACTCTTCCAAAGTGGAACAAAATGTTAAAAAGATCATGCATCAAATTGTAAGGGAATCCTCGTAAGAAGGCTTTAATCTTCGTAATGGTTTTAATGGGTCGATGATCAACAATGACTAGCTTATGGTCACTGGTGGTCAACAGTGAGGTGGACATCAAGGTCAGCGGTCCAGTGAAAATCCAGAAATGATCAAGAGGTGGGACCAATCGAAATAGTTTCTTTGTAGACGAGGCAGTCTTACCTGTTAACTTCAACTTTGGCTCTGACTGGTCTCCCCACCCTTTCATCACCTTAGACATATAAGCAGGGTCACTGCGAATAATTCTTCAGTCGCGTCGCGAATTCGGGAGTGTCGAGTAGCCAGAGGAGAACCGGGGACCGCTGCTGACCCCTGCTGGCCGTTGCTGACCACAGCTGACCATGGCTGACCAATACTGACCACTACTGACCAGTGCTGATTCGCGTTCCTGCCACTACTGACCACTACTGACCAGTGCCGGACGGTGATGACCAACGGTAAGAACTATTTAAAAATTCTCTCCCCTCTTCTATTCTATCGTTTGATACCAATTTCGCTTCAATGAACTGATTTTGTCTTGCTTGCCTAACTGACGTTGCTATAATATGAATATTTTCTTACTTTACAGTTGGCCCAGTGGTAACTACCCTATGTACTGACAACAAGTAGTAAGTCCACTCCACTTATTTATATTTTATTATTTTTATTTGTTTGTTTGATGTGAATTCAACTTCATTTGTCTATCTGATTTCATTTGGTTACTATGAATCTTCCTTTTCCGTGTTTCCACTTTTACATTGTTCTTCGAATTTATATGATTGCTTCGATATGTATAATATTGCAGGATATATTAATGTAACATTGTTTTCAATCGTATACTATATTTGTATACAATATCATGAATTTTTATTTTTAAGCTAGATGATAGGTCATTTTTAAGTGTTTAAAAACCTCCTTTTTAACCCCTTAGCTTAATGATGTTTCAGAGACATGATGAGTCTATCGGGCCAAACACGAACAAGACGCCTCAGAGAAGTGATAAGTCTACCGGGCCGAACCTTGATGACGCTTTTGGCACGCACAGTTGGAAATTAAATCGTAAGGCAAATGGGTAAAACAACTGGTTGTATACGTACTTTCTTTGGCAAGTGTAGTTAGTATCTTTTGCTTAAAATTATAATCTTCTTGCACACCGCGATTTTTAAGATGACAAATGTCATAGTAGATTCATTTTTAATTTGACACTAATTTTAAAATGAATATATAATGAGTACATATACATATATGAGTAGTTCACTTTCTTTCGTCCGCTCGTTCTCTGGTTCTCGCTTTCCGAGATTATGTCTTGACTGAAAGGTCCGGAGAGTTTCGCTCGATCACCTCTGTTTGATAGAATGAAACATGTGACACCTGTGTATTAGGTGTGATAGCTCTTACCGCTTCAACCCCGGTGCAGCTTGGTTCAGCTTAAGTGGGGCCTCACCGAGCGCATATATTCTCCTCTTTATACGGAAAAGAGAATGACCTCCGGTGAGAGTTCTTGACCCATATCCGTTCTCGAGTACTAAGCGGGTCCTGTTGTGATCTTGTGTCCTCCAGGACCCGGCGGTTGTACGTAGAGAGGTCCGATAGACGTGGGTCAGGGGCGCGACTTGCTTTTCTGATAATCAAGGCCGGGGGGGATCAATCTGATACCCACACTCACTGCACGCTTATGAGCACGTGTCGCGTCGCGTTTTATTTAAGCGTGCGATATTTTTACACGCCGCAATTTTTAATATGACAAATATCGTAATATCAATCGAAAGTAGAGTCATGGTTTTAATATCTTTTATAATACTTATAATTATATTAATTTTAGAATGAGTGTCAAATTAGTAGCTTCCGATTGTCCTTTACATTCTTCAATAATTAAATTCACTTTCATAATTCAGTTGACGACTTTGGGTATCTTCGATATCGAAGATACCCAAAGTCTTTCTTTACTTATTAAAATATATCATTAGATTGACGTGCAAGAAGATATTTCGCGACTAATACATTTTAGAGTCAAAGTAACCTCGTATATTATGTACTATTTTTACTTTCTCACTGCACTTGCCTGTAGTTGTAGTATTTGTAGTTTTACAGATTCTCTTACTAATCTATTAAACAAGTTTCTGTTACAGAGCATATTCCTATGGAAGTTACAGGTTTATAGAAGTAAGAATTAAGAATTGTTACAATTTTGTTTGATATTGCTTTGTTTGTGTTACAGGAAATCATCGTGGGACAAATAGAAGATAGAAGAAAGAAGAATGTATTTCATGTATTTTGTTTCAGATTGCTTAGTTTATGTTTTAATAATTTAGATTTATAATCAAAGGATAAACAAGGAAGAATACATTTTCTAGGTATTTTCTTAGATAATTAGATAGGTAGGATGTAAACGAATTTAGATTTATAGTTAGGCAGGAGTTTGGTTCTCTATATTAATCGTTATATCAGGCAGGCAATATTTTGGTCTATTTTTCTGTTTTGTTGATGAGAATTTAGAGGCAAATTCTTTCTTAAAAAACTCTCTCGTTGGTTGTTTCCTTCGTTGGTTGCACTTTCGTTTATTGCTTTTTCGATAAACGATCGCTGGTCATAAAAGATCTTTACTAATGGAGGGTGGTTGGGAATCGGTTAGGGCGGGTCTCCATTCGCAGCAACCTCCACGTGGTGAGACCTGGGTAATATTATTTAGCGTTTAATTAATAATCGTATCACTTTTAGCTGGGTAATGCAATTATTAATTAAAAACTAAATAATATTAGCAAATTGGCTGCGATCTGCTTTGCATAGGTCATCATAAATATAGAGTTAGTTTTGATTCTCATTGATTCATCAAAGATTCTAGAGTATTGTCACAGATGTGGTATAAAAGTAGATCCTTCATCCAATGTATTTTTGCGGCCTATTTTTATGGGGTCTCTTAATTCCATTACCATTTTCGTGTCATTCGCAACGTTACCAACAGATTCAGAAATGAATTTTAATTTCTTCCATAGTCAACTCACATGTATTTACGTAACACTACAGCTGTTTGCCTATCAATATTAATTCAGTGAATAGTTTCTCAACTGACCACCATTCATGTGAAGAGGACGCTAAAATCACCTCCGAATTTTCAGGTCGGTATGGCAGTCAGATTCGGCCGCGAAAGTCCATAACGTGAAAGGTCTACTCGTACACCTCGTCTGCGATGAAACGTTGTTTCTTTCGTATTTGACAAAAATCATTGCCGACAATAATAACAATAACAATGAAGATATAAAGAAAATAATATCTCGAATCGACTATTCTGTTTTGTCCAGCAAACGTATGTGCATTATTTTTATTTTTGACAAATCAACCAATCAGAACCGTAGTATCATCAAGAAATTCGTATTTGGGTATTTCCAAATTTGTAGGCGCTGGTCCCTGACGTATGCGTCCAGCCCCGTCGAAGTGTGATCCATGGCATGGACAATAAAATCCACCGGGTATATTACCAGCATTAGGAATCGGAATACAACCAAGATGAGTACAAATCCCAATAACGATCAACCATTCTTGTCTTTTTGCTCTTTCGTCGTCACTTTCGGGATCTCTTAATTGCGTGACATTCACGAGCTTTTCTTGTTCTATGATGGATTGAGGACTAAAACGTATTCCAAGGGTAGTTTATCTTAATAAATAATCTCGTTGGGAATAGGTTCGAATGGAAAACGTCAAGTTACCGACCAAGGGATGGGCAAAACTTGTATATAGCTACAAGTTTCGAATAACGAGTGTTTATTCATTATTTATTTAACAACAATACAAATTTTATTCGATTAAATAAACGTCACGAATAAATCGCTATAAATTTTGTCCATCTTTGTTGAGCCGATAAAAATTTATTTCATTCATACCGATGGTAGACGAAAATTGGTTTTCCTCGCCATTTGAAAATCGAAACTTTTCCTAACGTTATATTCTGCAAACTAATTTCGATTTGCGCTTCTGCTAGTATGTCTCGTGATGCAGCCATGAACACCACACAATGTAACATGTGAGATTTCATTGTGTATAGGGCTGCGACACTAGCAACTGACAAGTAAATAATACTTTTGTAAATAAACAAAATTTTTTATTTGAAAAATTTTGATGATACTGCAAGTTTATAGAACGGTCCAACATTTTTTAAATGTCAATACTGTTATTTTTGATAGATCAATATTTCGATCATTTTTAAATAACGTTGCACGAAGTAAAAGACTGAGATATTATTATACAGGTCTACGGTTACTTCCATTGAAAAAACATTTTGTTGTTTCTTTTTCACTTTACGCTCACTGTATCTTTCGTTCTGAAGAACAATTTACAAACCGTGATACACGTACCGAAAGACGCCGCGTAAGTCGCCATTTTCCGTTCATCGTTGCTTCGTCTTGCCGATACATTCGGTTCTTGGATATTTTTCCGGCGATATTCTTCAAAATCCGGTTCCGGTAAGTCGGTATGCGCGTACCGATTCTTTAAGCAAACGAGATTTGCGTTCAACCAGTTCCCAAATATTCGAATTGACATTTTGACGAGCGACATTTTTCGTCGATCTTCCATTCTTTGGCCGTATGACGCAAAAAAAAAAGAACGCGAACAAATGTCTAAATAATATTTTTATGTTTCGCGCAAACGAATCGCGCGACAAATTAGTGTCGGTTTGAATGAAGTCGGAGCTTAGAGAGCAAATAAAGAAAAGATAAGAAACATTGAGAAAAACGAAACATTGATTATGGAAGGGTTGGACAAACTTCCGGCACCGGTAACAGTAGGTGCAGTTTCCATGGTTTTAGAAAGCCACGAATCTCTGTCAAAGTTTCTGATGTATAATCCAAATGTGACGAGATCTTTGGCCGATTGGCTTAGCTCTAGCGTCAGGTTTGTTCCAGTTGTACCCAGACGGTTAGTGTACTTCCATTCTTCGAACGGAAGCATGGAGGCGTTCAATGTACTTGGCATCGCCAGGACCTGTTCGTAGTCGTCGACGGTCGTCGTGATTTTCAATTCGTTAAACACAGTGTCCGATCGACTAACGGAAACGCAGGAAATGCCCGCTTCGTCGGAGCATTGTATCACCGCGCACACGCGAATGCCCGCTTCTACTTCCCGACCGTAGCGACGAATTCCATTGTAAACCACGGCATGATAGTTTATCGATGACTTGACAATGTTCGCGCGAATGTCGAAGTGGCAACAGAAACCATCGTGACAAAGGGATGTTTGTGTCATCAACGGTTCCACAGGAATATGTTTGAATAACGTGACATTGTCGTGCAAAAGATATACTCCGTCCACAACATCCCCTGTCATCTCAAGCGTGTATCTCGTTAAATCGGAGGAACGTTCCTGTATTATCTCCGATCGGGGTTTCTTCAATTCCTTCTTTGGAATACGGGAGACTAAGAGTCGATGTTTAGGATGACTAGAGAACGTCGCGTTGGCTATTCCATCACGACCTGAAGAGTTGAACGGTTATAAAGAATGTAAAAAAACAGCGATCAGAAAATATTAGCTCGATAAATATATGGCGTACGCGTACCTAAATAAATACCGCTTCCTGTGCTCCCGGAAGCTGGATTACTATACCCAGCCGCTAACAGGTTGACGTCCTCGGCATAGGACCAACCGAATTGAGCTTGAACGGCTGAAATGAAATCAGGAACCATTGGTTATCATACAAATTCTCTAGGGATCGACAGAGCGCGTTTAAAAGGATAGGGAGAGCGGACTCGTTCGGTAAAAGCATCTTCGCAGGGATATTGAAAGTCAGTCGAGGATCGTATATGTAGATGCAGACGGAAGGTCGGTCGGGTGCTTACGAGAGGTACGGTCCCTCTGGCGGCGAGTACGGGAAACGATGGAGCCCACAAAATTGTGGTACGCAAGCAGACTTCGCAACTTACCCGTCAAAAATGGCGCTTCGGAGAACCAAGCGGTCGGGTAGAGGAAATCCGTAACTCCTGCCGTCCTTGTCATATTCAAACCCGGAATCCAGAATAATATATCGAAGCATATGAATGTGCCGAATCTCACTCCGAAGTCAGTGTCGAAGGTAACGATTTCCGGTATCTTGGTGGGGCGAAATCGTGGCTCCATGTAGAGATTCACTTTGCGGTACCTGTTCGTAGCGTAATAATGGGTAAGCTACATTATCGCTACGGGATATGTCAACGATCGGTCGCCGTAACATAGAAACGCGATTACCTGGCAATTATTTTCCCCGTACGGTCGAACGCCACGTTGGTGTTGTGGTAAATCGTTTCATCGGTAGAGTTGCAACGTTCCTTCTCGGCGATATTTATTAACACGTAAATGCTGTTGTGTTTCGCGGCGCACGATATGTTCTTTAACGTCTATGACAATACAGAATGTCTCGAATTAAGTATACCGATTTCTTAATGTAACGTAGTAGTGCCGCGATCTTATCCATGATGGACTCTGATATTCGATTGTCAACGATTTAGTGCAATAAGAAACAAAGTATCGCTTACTTCGCTAACACCCATCAAATTTCCCGTGCACGGGACGTATTCGTCCTCAACTGCAGGTACTATCGTTGACCAAGCATCCATTTGGGATACAGTCGGCATCCGTGTCGACGTCAACCCATCTTCCGGGAATACGACAATATCAGCATTCTGTATAATTTATGTAAAAGTACAGTTTATGCGACCAAAAGATGAACTTTAGTAATACAATAGATTTAATAGGTATTATAGAAATTACAACAGTGAAAGTATATAAAAGTGTCAAAGGCAAACTCTTAAAGAATGTTAACGACATCATTGTATGTAATGAAAGTGTCTCACCTGTTGCTTGGCTTTTTCTATGTATTCTACATAAGATTTGGTATTGTTTCCCAGAGTTGCCAAAGCATCACCTCTAAAGTAATTCGGTGAGAATTCTACCACCGCTCCTACATAGTAATCCGATTGCTGTTGCCCTGTCACCTATTTTACACAGCAAATAACGAAATCTTTCAACAAGAAATTACATCCTTATTATATAGATATATTAAAGTTTATTTAATAACAAAAACTATAGTACTTTTCTAATTTATTCAGACAAATGCCTTGTTTCGATGATACGATAAAGGCTTTTAAAGTAACGATGAAGTCAAATACTTAAAATCGAGGAAAGCTGCTAAACTGCAGATTAATCTAAGCTTACTTAACTTTACCTTATACGAAAGACATAGAATTAGCAGGAGTCCCAAATAACTTCCAGTCCCATACATGTTAGACGTTGCTAATGACAGGTGATTTGTGAACTGTGGTTGCTACAGGGCATTCAGAAAGAAAACAAAGAGAAAAATCTATGAGCAACATGTATTTTTACACTTTATGCCTATTGAATGTGTTTGTGGAACATAGCAAGTCAGCTTCTACACTTATAATTGGCATAGAGTAAATTGCAATTACTGTGAATCTAGAAATTTTACTGCGTATCTTTGCAATGTTTTATATGACTAATTCTTATTTGCATTTATACTTGGCATTCAATTCATCTGCTTAATAATAATGACTCATAAATAGAGGTCGGTCAAGTAAGAGTTAACTATATCTACATATAGAATATAAATTTCCGTAGGTGATGAAATCTTTTAAGATTCGTTCAGCAGATGGCACTCAGTACTGTTTGCCTTACCATTGACGATATCAGATTGGTGGAATTTCTCAGAATTTCTCCTCCGATTGGGAGTGGGAGTAGAAATACTCGACGGAAAAATTAAAATCCAAAGTGAATGAAATTTTGCAAAAAATATATTTTCAATGAACTGTAACTTACAGCAATAACTTTCTCTTTTAAAAATATCTACAAATTCAGTCATTCCTTTGAAGTTATGAGTCGAGTTCAGTTTCATAACTTTGGGTGAGATTATAAAACAGATGAACCTCGACCTTTCACTGTGCTATGGCAGTGTGGCCAGATTTGGCATAATTGAGTGCATCGACGTCGACACTAGAAACGACGAACTTCCTTCCTAGAGTCTAACGGAGTGGCGAGGAAATCGAGAAAGAAGGCGGCTGTAAGCCTTTCCTTCTTTCTTTTATAACAGCTGACATTCGACCTCGCGACAATCGGCATACGATTCCAAGTCTTGATTGTCCAAACATTTTTACTTTACGAACTGTTTAGATATACATAGGAAAATACCATAACGAAATGAAAATTTTGAAAATTTTTTTAGTGGAAATACACGTTTTAAGACCCCTATGTATGTATTCTATTAACATGATTAATGATTGCTGAATGAATTTCAATGAAACTCTGCATTTACGTTTTATTTTCTCGTTTTAAGGTCTGATTAGATTTCGATCGTAATCAGCCCACGGATATACATACACTATTTGTACAAATTTTATAAAACGTTTTCTATCAATCTCAAGAAGGATCGAGATCAAATAAACTTTTCCTCAATCTTCTCTAGAAAGGAAAAATAAAAAGTCTTATACATTGCATACGTACCTAAGCCACATTAAAAACGTATACCACAAATATTTCAGAATAATGTTGTTCAGAGCAGTCTCACTCGTAAGGGGTTAATTAAGAAATAAGTATTTAGTAAAACAAGTGAAAGTACAAGTAAAATTTAATAAAATGGAAAACCACTCTTAGCCAGTACCGTGGACGCTATAATCTTCGACAACAAATATTTTTTAAAGATATGATTTAAACAGAAGAATCGATTACTATAAAAATAGATAAATATTGAATTTTTCCTTTATGGTTTTCAATAAACGTATCAATTTGTTACGTAGAATCAAATGTTATGTATATTTTACTACACGTGCGTGGCTCGTGCGGTAGTATATATCGACTATCCCCACCACTCCGTTAGACTCTAAAGAAGTTCGTCGTTTTTAGTGTCGATGTTGACGTATTCAATTATGCCTTTAGCCATACTGCTGTTTAGTCGAAAGCGTGTAAAATATGTACATAATATAAACCAAGGGTGACGAAATATGCAAATATTGCTCACTGACAGAATCCCGAGCGATTCGAAATAAAAGTGACGTAAAATGGAACATCTTACAACGAACGTATAAAAACTTAACTGCCCGGTCGAAAAAACGTCGTAAATAAATTGCTGTGTATTAATTTAATTGGTCATCTATACTTCGATTGAAAACCCATTTTTGGTTCCATTGTAGTCCTTTTCGTAACATGGCCTTTATTATTTATTCTCGTTGGTAAATTACTATTATTACCGATTTTCGTAACCGCACGGGCGTGTGTAACATCGCGCAATATTTGTGTACGAAACAAGAATAAAGAGACACGAGGAACAGTACCTGATATCGCTTGGCACCGTGCAGGAATTTCTTGCAAACTGACTCGATCTTCCCGGTGGGAGTGAATTTTAACGAATCGCGATAAACATGACTCAAGACTGCCTCCCAATTGGGTTTCCCCTGTCTCTCACACCGTGCGAGCAATCAGGAAACTTATAAATATTATCAGCGTGCAACGTGTAACATTTGATACTTGGTCTTTTTCAGGAAATAGTATTTAATGAGCGGGGGGGACAAAAGTCGAACGGGGGGAGAATGTGAAAAGATCGAGGAAAGCGTGCACGTCGGGGTGGTCCTCACCTGCAGGGGTCAAAACTTTTTTTTTTTTATAGCAACCGAGGGGTCGGTCGAGCGCTTGTGAGAGCGCGACCCCTCTGGCGGCGAGCCTAGGAAGCGACACCTCAATTTAAAAAAATTTCTTTTTAAATACAGTATGCTTTGTCTGATCAACGAGAAACGTGAATTTCATTTGAAATGAAGTTTAATTTGGATTGCAAAATTTGTCCGTGTTCCGTGACCTCGTGACAGATTCAGTGTGTCTACCTAATTCAGCTTGGAGGTCGGGTAACTTCTCACCTAGTCGAGGTCAGGATGCGTGGATCTACGACTGGCGCAGATGACTCACTCTACGATACAAGCTGAACGCGAACGTTTCCCGCGGAAATGAAAACGGCTGCTTCGAAAGCATTCACATCGGTTGCAATCGAATTGCTGTTAACAGATTGAACACTGTAGCGGATACCGGTGTATGTTATCGCACTTTTCCAATAACCAGAAGCGGACGCACGCTTTCTATCCCTTGCATTTAATAATCTCAGTAAAATTATGGTAGAAAATTCAGTTTTTTGCTCCGTTTTGCCAACGCTTTGACGGCCGTTGTCACGCGTACGTGATTTCACCGTTTCGATTATCGTCCACTTAATTTTTTACGTTTCTCGAGGATCATAATTCGTACGAAATCCTCAAAAACAGTTGCAATTTCCATAAATTGAGAAACAGCTTGTAACGAAAATCTCTGAGCACGAGGAAACGTATAAAGTTACTGTAGAAGCAGTTTTCCGTTAATTACGAAGATAATGAAGATATTTTTTGCATCGAGTCAATTTACCAAGGGACTCGTGATAAAATGGAGATCCTTTAAATCGCGTGAAATCCTTATAAATTCGTTCGTGACGTTGGTGTATTGCACAGTAGAGACGATATTACCTAGCTAAAGATGATGCCATGCGTGGCTAATACGCATTAAATTGCGATTATAGTGCGAGCGTATTTGCTCGAATTTAGATTCATTTTTGATCGTGCGTTTACGCCTGAACGCTCCTTCCGCAATAACCAAAGTCTCGTACAAAGTATAAACCAGTGGCGCATTATACCATCGTGGTCTAAGGCAGGATGAAATTTGGATGCCTGATCTAAAGAAAAATCTGAATAAAGTATATCTAAATTGCCTACCAGATCGTTATAATCGAAGGATCAGAGAAACATGAGAAACAGATTTCAAGAAATTCGAAATAATCCGAGTCAAACTCATTGAATCCCACGATTGTTTTATTTTATTCAATTGTATCGGATTGTGTACAATTTTAGTAACATTGGACGACCAGAATTTTCCATTTAATCTTTGTGTAAATACAAGAGCAATCTTGCAAATAGTCGCAAAGCCCCTATATGTATTGCGCGTTTCAATCGTACAATTGATATCGTTCCTGGTTCATATGGGATTAGAAACTCTAAACGACTATGACTTTGCAACGGGTGGGAATTTTTCTGACGTCGTTGATCTCTATAATACTCGGGCAATAATACGCGAACGTTCTCGTAAAGCAGAACGACGTGTTGAAGTTAATTAACGCGACGCGGATCTTGCCGCGGCTGCTTACGAAGTTATCAGTTGTTTGACACGAATCTGTATCCTACGTCGTATTGTAACGAGGTTAGAGCCAATTTCGTTTGTGCGTTATCAGAGACAAAGTCTACATGAGCAATTGACCTATTATTATTATCGCCGTTGTTATTTATAGATGTTATTTGTACCTACACTATAGATCAAAAGTTTGGACAAAATCGTTTGCAAACAAAATTTGTCGAAGCTGTTCAGAGTTACTTGATCGTTTCATTGATACTTGGTTCAATGAATTCTTTCAAATACACGACCAACCCTCGTCCCTATTATCTTTATGTAACGATTCGTCGAATGAAAATAGAAAAGGCAAGGCGAAACGGTAAGGTTCAGCGATTACAGCTGTTTCGCAATGTTTTATCAGGTCTGATGATCGAGAGACTGCTGTAAATACAACTTTCTCGATCAGTAGCTCGACGATAGTCGAGCATATAGATCGAAGGTGGGAGTAGAAGTAAAACAATCGTGATCTACGGTGCTCGATCGAAGATAAACATTTGTCACGCAGCGATCCACTTTTCTTCATTGTAATTAGTGTTTTTCCACCACTGGACGACCTCCCCTTCCACTTCGACTACAGCTGATCAATTTCTCTGTCTCTGTGCACCAGTAGTTGAGGAAATAGGCAAAGCAAAAATGAAAATAGGAAAAAATTGAAAGCGTTTTGAAAGTGATTTTGCCTAATACAAAATTATAATAATATTTGATCAATTACATGTTTGGAAAAGAATCTTACTGATACGATAAAAATTAATATAACTGTTCCATTTTTGGAACGAGGATTAATGTTAATTTTATATCCATAAATGTTAGACAGGATCGCGTGGTCGCGATAAAAATTGTCATCATGTAAAGTAATATCGATAGATAAATTTGATTGATTTTCTTGTTAATCCTCCTATTATAAATAAACACAATTGATGGATTTATTTTGCCGTTTATCTTAATAATTTTGTATCGGTTGATAAACCACTAATTGTATTAGATGAAGTACCAACTCGTGTATCAATATCTAATCATACTACAAGTATATAATGAGATTGTACAAACGTTTAAAAATATGATCGCATTTTTTCTATATTTAACGATTAACGCTTTCAAAACTATCAGATTTATTTATCGTGTTCGAATTTTTCAAGTACGAGCAATGGTCAAACGCGACCCGTGGGTTATCAGTTTGCTATGCCCAATTTAGGATCAAAATATTGGTCCGGTTAGCAGAATCGTTCTATATGGTTCTTACGATTAAAGAAAACTGTGCATATCGATGTATCGTTGCATGGTCGGGCGTCGATCACGGAAGTTTCTCGCGTCGTATGCAAACGCTCGCAAGCATTCACTTTTCCCGTCGAAATTGAAATTTCCTCGAATCCTCGAATTTACAAGAGTTCGGCTCGATCGAACTCCTGGCCTCTTTGCACGCGCGCAAACGTTCGCGTGACCGTACGCATTGCGGTCATAAATTGCCTGCTCGACGTATCGCCAAGGGACCCAAGGTTGTTGTTTGTTCACCGGAAAGAATTTTCCAAAGACTTCCGTCGAGCTCGGCAACAAGAAAAAAAAAGGGTAAAGTTCGTAACATTTTTCGAGCGAGCATCTCTCGCAAGAAAAACATTAACGCTTCGCTAACTACGTTCTTCCGTGCACTATCGTCCGTAAGTGCAATCGCATTTTCAGATAATAAGATACTGTTTAATTTAAAATTTATAAGTTTTAGAGTCGAAATCAAATTGTTATTCGTACATAGGTGAGAAGGAATTAATTGTTATTCGTACATAGGTGAGAAGGAATTAATCGCGTGGGTATTATGGTTAAAATGTACAAGTACAATCGCATTTTTAGATACTTAGATATGCTGCTTAATTTAAAATTTCTTAATTTAAAATTTATAAGTTTTAGATTCGAAACGAAATGTTATTCGTACATGGGTGAGAAGGAATTAATTGCGTGGGTATTATGGTTAAAATGGTTAAAAATGGCCCCTTGGAATGAAGCACAGGGTGAAATCAGTGGCCATCCAGGGGTTTTAATATACTATGTAGCGCGAGGAGCAACTGCAATTTTGGAATATGGATAGTTGGTCTCACGAGAGTCGATCGATTGGTAAAGGAATGCACAATTGAGTAAATGGAATTGCGTTGTATCGGTTTCGCGAAGAATTGGTAACCGGGAGGAGCAACGACGTCGAGGACGTCGCGTTCATAAAAACACGCAAATTTATGCTTTTGAAATCCCATAAATATGCATCTGGCGCAGATCCATTAGCGAGAATCGTTAAGAAAAGTAACATTGTAGATAAAATGTTCGAGAAAAAAATTCGAGTAGGTGCCTTTTTTGGGCGAAATTGAACAATTTCAAATCGTTCTAGAAAAATTATTTTCGATTGCAGGAGTCAAATACAATCATTTTTGGTCGATAGACATATCCACGAAATCCTAACAATTTCCGAGAAAAAAATTCGAGTAGGTGGATAAAGTCGACAAAATTAAAAAATTTCAAATTGTTCTGGAAAAATTATTTTCGGTTGCGGGGGTCAATCACAATTATTTTTGGTCGATAGACATACCCACGAAATCCTAACAATTTCCGAGAAAAAAATTCGAGTAGGTGCCTAAATTGGGCAAAATTGAACAATTTCAAATCGTTCTAGAAAAATTATTTTCGATTGCAGGAGTCAAATACAATCATTTTTGGTCGATAGACATATCCACGAAATCCTAACAATTTCCGAGAAAAAAATTCGAGTAGGTGGACGAAGTCGACAAAATTAAAAAATTTCAAATCGTTCTGGAAAAATTATTTTTGGTTGCAAGGGTCAATTACAATTATTTTTGGCGAAGAGACATACCTCCGAAATCCTACGTACTTTCGAGAAAAAAATTCAATCAACAAATTAACATTTGCTTCCATGGCCATCTCAAAGTCCCGATCGAGTATTTGTGGGAGGAATTAGATCGTTAAATAATTGTAACTGAAAGATACACAAAATCAAAATTTATAGAAGCATTGAAGACAAAATAGAACGAATTAAGCTCCACAAAATGAATTAAGATGTGCGTTAAATTACAATGTCGACATACTTTTCGTCTTCAGTTACATTAAACATTCTGGTTTTTAGATAACTTTGAATCTGTATATAGGAATTAGTTTGCATTTCATGTATTTTCTTCTTTTCGTTAAACTTCACACTAAATAAGCTTTTGCATTTGTGTCATTAGCTT